CATTCTCTGACCTCCCATGAATGCTTCCCACCACCTCATGCCACAATCTCTCTCTTTCCAAAGGCCATCTCCACACCCATTTCCCTTACAGAGCTTGGTTTGCCTCTCTTAGATTGTTGACCACCGTTTGTTTCCCTTCAATCATCTCTCAGTCCCACTATCTTGATCTGTTAATGTGGAATTCCTTCTTCCTCCCCTCGATGCTTCTCCAATACACCAAAATAAACTCCCCTCCTTTCTGCTTTCGACAACATAGGGTACGTGAAGTTCCTCTTGATCTCCATCCACCGTGATCTCCTCCTTTTGGGATTGCACGACCCTATCTGTAATGCTTTATCTTCTCTACCTTAGACAACACTGGCCACATCAATTTCAGAATCACTGCATTTGCTGTTGTCAGTGGGTACCTACACTAGTGCACTTTCATTCTAATCCATTCTGAGTCTTCCTTGGCCTCGAACAAGTTATCAATGCAAAGGAAACCTTCGCAAATATCTCTGATGCTCCTAACTAGTTGCTCACTCCATAGATGCATAAGTAACCCGCACACTTGAACCCACACCTCCCTTGGTTCCTGATGATTGAGTTCTGAGCATCCCATCTCAGGATTCCAAGGCTCCAACTGCAATAGGGATTCTAATGCATTTCTGGAACCAACTTTCTACACCCTGCTAGCCTCCACTGATGGCAGGATGAACAGGAAGCAAGATGGCCCCAACCTCCTCATTCTAATAATGGAATATTCCATTTCTTATGTGCCCATTCTTGAACCTTCTCCACCTCTAAATCTTCCTTGTAAACTGATGCAACCAGGCATGAACACAGGTACTCCAGTCTACGTTTTCTTCCCTCCACCCCTACTACCAGATAAAAACTTTAGGTCCCTCCTTGTATAGACACCGCTGCCTCCATTCTCTACTTCTGCAAACTGGCCTTCTCCCTGTATGCGGAACCACTCCAACATCCACTGCTCTCCCTCCCCCAAAGAGCCATCCTCACACTAACTCAAGAAGCAATTATAGAAAACATCTGAACAAAGGTTGTGCATTGGATCAAGATGTTAAAGCTGTTTAATGTTTCTGTTTTTAGCCACTTAAAGGGTGGAATGTGGTGGTAATAAAAGAAAGAACTGGAGATCTGAGAAGGGAATATGTATGCTTGAGGCTGAATTCAAGGTGTAAATGTGTAAGAGAAGGGGATCATCATCATCTATGCATTATCCCAACTATATGATGGGGTGGGCTATATGAATCCTGTTTTTCCATTCCGTTCTGTTTAATGCCGTATCTATTGTTAAATTATGAGAGCTTAAATAATTTCTTACTATTTTGGCCGATGTCCTTTTTGGTCTGCCCCTAACCCTTCTATCCCCTTCAACTTGTAACTGATCACTTTTCCTTATAGGTGCTGTGGTGGTATTCTATGCATGTGACCATATCATCGAAGTCTACTTTCTCTCATTTTATCACTTATTGGAGCTACTCTTAGGTTCCTTCAAATGACTTCATTTCTTACCTTATTCACCCATCTCACCATACATATTTCTTCCACACTCGTTATTTGGACATGTTTCTTGACTTCCCAACACTTTGTTCCATACAGCATTGCTGACCTTACAACTATTTTATAGAATTTTCCTTTTAATCAAACTGGTATTTGCCTATTACATAGGACTTTTCATGCACCCCCTCCATTTTGCCCACTAGGGATGCAAACGGATTGGATTGGATACGAATAGTCCAATCAGACACTGTTCATGCTGGATCTGATCGGATCTGATAGAATTCGATGTGAATTTGAGTCCTATCGGTAAGTCAAATTAATAAATTATTAAAAGAAAAATAAAATATACTAATTTAAATAAAGTAAAAACCAAAAATACAAGTATTTTTTAATTATTTTCATCATATATACATGTTTTTTATAAAAAATAAATAATATAACAAATTTATAAAAATATAATATAAAAATATATTTATAAATAAATAAATAACATATATATGTATTATATATATTATATTTATAAATATATAATACATATCGGGTCAGATCTCGGATCGGATAGGGGGTTTGACCTGAATCCGATCCAAACAGGGGTGATCTGAATTCGACCCAATAGGATCGGATCAGACCATGATCCGATCCATTTGCACCCCTATTGCCCACCTTGGTTCAACAGTTCATTGGAACCAAGGTGCTGGAAAAGGTCATGTTATCTCTTGTTCTTGAATTGTAAGTGTACCCAACCAAGGTGCTGGAAAAGGTCATGTTATCTCTTGTTCTTGAATTTTAAGTGTACCCTGATTTGCACTCTGTTGTTATTAAGTTTACATTGCATTTATTCTGTTTTGCTCCTACTTATTTTAAAACCTCTTGTTTTTAATTTGGTGTTTTAAAAGCACTGGGTGCAAAAAAGGCGCATGGGTCAATTTGCGCCTGAGGCGCAAGGCGCAAAAAATAAAAAAAACCTCAAAAAATAAAAGAAATGCCCAAAAATTCAAAATAATGCAAAAAAAAGTGCCTCGCCTATGCGCCTAGGCACGCCTTTTAAGTCATTGACTTAATTTTGCTTTTAATATTTCATCAGTTTCATCAATTAAAACAATGTCATCAGCAAACAGAAAAGAGAAAAGGGTGGTGGGGGCACTTTGTACATATCTAATAAAGCTTAACAGTTATCCATCAGAAAAAAGGGAATTTTTATAGGATCTCTTTAGAAACTCATGTTTTTATGAGGCATAGTGTTGACCATAGTTTTCAAGGCGCCAAGGCAAGGCTAGGCGACAGGAGGGCGCCTTGTCGCGTAGTCGCCTAGGCGGGCGTCTAGGTGTCTTCTAGGCGATGGGTTTTTTTATGTAGAAAACATAGATCCTAGGGTAGTTCCCTAGGTACCATAACCATATTTTCTTAAGAATTATTCATAATTTTCATAAGAAAAGTAGAGAGTTCATGTTTAAGTATAGGAAATCAACATATTCATGAGAAGAAAAAGAAGGAAAAGAAAATTCAAAAAATATAGGGGCTGAACCCTTATTTTTGTTATAGGAAAAAAAGAAAAGAGAATCTGTTGATTAGAAAATGTGTAGTAGTAGTAGTAGTAGTAGTAGTAGTAGAAAATGTGTTGATTAGACAATATTTTAAGTTCTTCCTTATTGGTTCAGATTTTAAAGTCTTTGGGGGGTTCAATACAGCATTTAGCAATGTTTATATTGATTAAACCCTAACAAATAAGAAAATAATAGAAAGAAATAAGTATATAAACACACAAAATGAATATTTTAATTTAATAGTGCCTATTTTATAATTATAATGTAAAAAAATAAAGAATAAAAAATTATTTTATAATACATAGTACAAAACTGTTTGGTGATTAGGCGAGGCGAGCCTCAAAGGGCACCTTGTCGCCTAGGTGCCCGCCTAGGCATCGCCTTGATAACTATGATGTTGACTAAAATCCATAAATAGTAGTAGGGATAAAGATGTTGAGATTGTTTAGTGCTTAAACATGGAGAGATGAAAATAGAAATGAGTGTATTTGAGAGAAACTAGGTTAGCATCAATTAGTAACAATGTAATAGGAAGTAAATTGATGTTTTAGGCACATGAAATGAAATTTAGTCAAAGCACCCAAAAGCCATTACCCAATGTTGGTCCCAACTATCTGGGGTCTTGGGAGGGTTAGACTGGTTATAGTCCTAACCTTTGGCATTTTTGTACAAAGTGGCCATCCTCGGACTCAAACCTGCATTCTCACATATGCCAGCCTAGATTTTTACCATTACACCAAGTAATGGCCCCCAGTTAAAGCACCTGCTAGGAGTATGCTTAATTAAAAGTTCTACTAGTGCAAGAGGACGAAAGCAAAGGACAGTTTTATATAGCGAGAATAGATTATTGAACTCATATTTTATTGGCACTTATCACCATGGCCTTCCTTTACCTGGAAGAGAGCAAAGGACAGTTTTATATAGCGAGAGAACTGAGAATATTGAACTCATATTTTAATGGCACTTATCACCATGGCCTTTTATAGGACAGGATGGAGGAACAAGATTGTTGCTACCCTCACTTAGGTGGCATGAGGCCACATGAGGGATTATAGCATTTGACACCCCATATCCACGTCATATGCTAAAGTTCATTTTCCATCTCCATATCATACATCTTTACCTGGATTTGAACCTGTGATTGCCCAAACTGATGCATATCCATATTTAGGTTTGAGAACTATTAAACTTGGATGATATTGATAATGAAGATCATTGAACTTACTTTTATGTTTTTTTCTTTCCTATTTGTTCTTGGTTAGGTGTTGCTTTTTACAAGGGGTCTAACCACTCATTGGTTATTGAATGTGCATTTACAGGGTATGATACTGGATTTCATTAGATACAGAGAGGCAACTACAAATCGTGAACCTGTAAGTAAGGATGGTTCTTTACCACAAACTAGTGAAATGGAAAGAAGGTTCCAGTTGTTGACAGAAGCTTGTGAAGGAAACTCTTCTCTTTTGGTGGAAGTTGAGAAACTGAAATCATCTAGTAGAAGATTATAATCTGTATGCCTGTAACCTAAAGTATATATATATTTTTTGGTTTCTATTATCATGGACGGCATTACATTATTACTGGTCTCGAATTCAGTTCCAAGAACTTGCTGCAGTTAGGTTTGTTACATGATCATCAATGAGGACGAGGCTGGATATCAAGATTTGGGTACTTGTGTATAAAATGTATTTATATAAAAACAAAAATTATTTTGTTTTTTGTTTTTTTTTTCTTTTTTTCCCTGTATAATCTTGTCTCCGTTAGTATCTTGCTTTTTTTTTTTTTTTCCTTTTTTCCCTTTCTTTTTCACTATGAAGGTTGAGTAGATGTAGCAATACTTCTTTTTGGCTCTTGGTTTAAAATAATATCTTGAATTTACCAACTTAATTGGTTAGTATTTGGTCTTGAAAACTCTTTTACAATGTTGAGAAAACCAAATTGCAACCGAATTGCCGAGGCCATTAGTCCATTCGAACTGGCATGAATCAAATTGGGCATAGGGGTGTCAATGAACCGGTTTTGGGTTGGACCCTGTCCAAATCGAAAGTGATATGGACTCAGACCGGTCTGAACATGAATCGTCCATTCATAGAGTGGACCGAAAGTGGACAAAGCAGTTGGTTTGAACGAGTCTGCTAGTCCATTCATTTCGTTTAAAGCTTGGAAACTTTTGAAGGCTAGGGCTCGACACCTCCATTGTGCTCCATCCTCAGTCTAAAGATTGAACTTCGATGGTATTTCTCTCTTTGGCGATCTATCATTGTTTATTTTCTCTCACCCTCTCACTTTCTCCGGCGGCAGAACTCCCCCTTCTCTAGCAACAACACTCCCCCTTCTCTCAACTACAGCACTCCAGTGGTAGTCTTGGTGGTATTTTGGTCCATTTTTTCTCTTGCATCTCTCTCTCTCTCAAGTGATAGGCTCCTCTGATCTTTGACCTTTGTGATTGTTAGGTTCATTTAGGTATTTTCTCTCTTGTTCATTTCTTTCTCTTCCCTGGCCTCTTATATTTGGTTTTAGTTGTAGAGGATTCCAGGATACAAAGGTTTGTACAAAGATTTATTTTGAATAATTCAATCTATAGTCATAGAGCTTTGTTTTAATCCCTATAATAATTTGACATTTTGATACACCAAGCTATAGAGGTTTCAATTAAATTGGACAGTTAGGTTCTTTACTTTAATATGAACTGATATTATGTTTTTGAAATATATTCTTGTCTGGTTTCACAATAGATGAAATTTCCCATTTGCATTGCTTGTTAAAACCCCCGAACCCTTAAAAATTGCAGACACCTCTTGTTCACTAAGGTGGTGTTTGATAATACTTTTCAGACCTTTGAAGTCTAAATGTTGCTTTTCAGATGTTAGAGGTGTTTTGAAGTGTATTTGAATTGGGGTTTGAAAATTATTTTTAGATTTGAAATAATAAGACTTGGGTTAGGCACTGAATACGTTTAGATGCGTTTCAACCGAAAGTCCAAAATACCCTTAAAAACATGCTTGCATTTCTCCCCCTCACCGTTCATCTTCTCTACTTGACGCAATGACGAACCAACGGCGGCAAGTGACTCATTCGACGAACTAGTGGTGGTGAGTTCCGGCCTTCTCTCTCCCTCTCTCTTCTTTCTTCTTCCTCCTCCTTTGTGGTCCCGTGGTTTCCAGCCTCTATTTTTCATTTTCGATCACCGTTGCAACTCTTGACAGTGGCGGCAAGTGACTCCTCCGATGAACCAGCATCATCGAGTTTCAGCCTTCTCTCTCTCTCTCTCTCTCTCTCTCTCTCTTCTTCTTCCTCTGTCCTCCCATGGCTTCTGTCCTCTATTTTTCATTTTTGATCACCGCTGCAACTCTCGACAATGGCGATAAGTGACTCCTCCATCTAACTAGCAATGGCGAGTGATTCCTCTAACCTTCTTCTTCTTCTTCTTCCATCCTTTGTTCACCATATTCATCTTTCTTCTCCACTGAGTACATTTTATTTGTATTAATTATTAAATATTTTAATGGCTTTAAGGTATTATTTTTGTAATTATTAATTTTTTATTGCTTTATGGACTTTATTACTATTTTCATTATTACTATAACTTTTAATAATTTATAAATTTATATGTATTTTTAATTTTTTCTTATTTTAATAGATTATTTTTAATTTTTATAATTTATTCAAATTTAAAAATATTATTTTGAATTAATAAATTATTTTGATGAAATAGTACAAGTTAAACTCAAAATTACCGAATAGTCTAATTTAGGGGTAAAATAGTAAAATTAGTGAATTTTAGATGTTGAGGGTTTGATTCAACACAAACAACATTCTTTATTCAGAGTCTATGAAAAGTCAAAAAACAACTATATCTTTTCAGATTTCATACACTTAATATCTTTTTAACTTTTCAGATTTATCAAATGCCACCTAACTGTATGTTATGAATTACTGATTATAGAAAGACAAAAACCTGGTGTCCCCATCATTGTTTATATAGAGGATGACGGGTCCCATATCATCATATTGAGTTTTGAGGGCAAGCCTTAATCTATTCAAGATGTGTAACCCTGAATTATAGAGCATAGTTATGAAGGAATGGTAGGATCCATCTAATGGACGCCAAAAGGTTGCGGAATGGGTGGGCGAATTTCAAAAATTTCCTACCTTCCTCCAACTGGGAATTGTATTCCCTAAATTTAGAATACCATATTCAAGGGTCTTATTTGAACCATAATCGAACCAGATCTGAACCAAAAGGTAAAAGGGAGGATTATACCTGATCCGGAGAAACAGTATCTCCCAAAGTTGGTGTTCACGCCCAAAGAAGAAACCAAGATCCGCTCCTGCTGAA